CTTCCCCTCCCCAAATAACTTTGTATTTATTATATATACATATACATATATTTGATAGATTTATATGTGGATGTAGCTTCACTACCCCTCCTTCCTCATGTTATCTCCTGTTACATGTTATCTCCTGTTACATGTTATCTCCTACAGTATGTAAGCACCTTAAGGGCAGGGGCTATTTCACATTTGCCTTTATTACCTGACACATAGTAGGTGCTTATTAAAATATTTGTTGATTAGTTGGGGCACACTGGTGCATTTTTCTGAACCAGTTGTCCTAGTCTGAGCCAGTGTGGGATAGATTTTTTTTTCTCCTCCATAACCCTAATCATTATCACTAGGGATCACATTGGTGTTTTTAGTTGAGGGGAGGGCAACACATGAGGCATATGTGGACTTATCCTAGCTACAATTTACAGAGCTCATTATCTCCTGGGATCTGGACAGATGGGGAAAACAGACAGTGACATGCTGGTCACTGTTTAATAACAGGCTCCCCCAAAAGGTGCAACATACTTTTAAATTCAATCTGCATCATCAACATTTTCTCCATCACTTTCTTAAGTTGAAACAATCAGCAGAACAATAAATCCAATCCTGATTTGTAGATTGTCACTTTCCAAGGTATAAACGATCACACTGAAAATTTAACAAGGGCCTCTCAAGATTCAGTCAGTTTGAGCTCACTCCAACACACTGGAACTCATCAGAGGACCCAGATCAGTTCAATCAAAGAAACACACTGCTGAGCTGGGGCTAGAGGCCCAGAATATAATTCTTACCTTCTCTAACACAGCCCTTTCTTTCTGGTTAGAACCAGAAAAGTAGTCCCTATATAATTTGTCAACTGAGCAACAGTCCCAAACTTTGAAAAAAGTCAGTTTTGGGGCAGCTAGGTGGCAAAGTGAATAGAGCACCTGTCCTGGATTCAGGAGGATCTGAGTTCAAATCCGGCCTCAGACACTTGACACATACTAACTGTGTGACCCTGGGCAAGTCACTTAACCCCATTGCCTAGCCTCCCCCCCCCCCCCGAAAAGAGTCAGTTGCCCTACCCCTCTATCCAGTTGAAAACTTGATGCCAGTTCTACCATCCCTGCAGGGCTTCCATAATTGGAAGCTCTTAGGTCTGTTAGGTCTCTGCTCTTTTCACAGGTTTTCATCATCAAAAGAAATGATAGGAGCTCCAAGGCAACTAGACACTCCATACTCCCAGGGGGCTATTTTCTCCTATAATTGAGTCCAGGCCACTTGAGCCGTCTCTGAGAAACATCTCAGATATTTTTAATGTGAAGCCTTCCCCAGGAATTCTTCTGGGTTTCTATATATAAGACCTGTTATCTGGGCCATTCATTTGATGCTTCTTTACATCATTATTGAACATGTCCACACATCTTAACTCCACAACTATGCAGGCTCCTAGAGAGCAGAGACTGTGTCTTCTTTGCACCCCACCCCTAATACAAGGCTGGGCACATAGCAGGTGTTCATTAAGTACATGGTGAATGAAGGAAAGAAGGAATGACAGGGCTGGGAATAAGCCACCTCTTTCCCCATCAAGTCTCTGACCTCTCATGACCTGCAGGGCTCCAGGCACCAGAGCCCCACCACGGTGCTTGCACTATTATTAGCTGATTGTTTTAACACCCAGAACTTCCAGTAGAGCCCCACACCTAAGATTAGGAGCCTAGGCAATAAGGAAGATGTTTCACACTTTGCCTTCTCCCCAATTTCAGCTCCTAAAAGATTGAAGATCAGGGAGGGAGTGGCCCTTTCCTCTTGTGCTCAGCTGTGATACATACTGCTCCGAGGATCATAGATCTAGAGGTTGTATAGTCCAACCCCTTTATTTTCTTTTTCTTTTTCTTTTCATTTTTTGGTTAGGTAATGCAGTTAAGTGACTTGCCCAGGTTCACACGGCTAGTAAGTGTTATGTGTCTGAGGTCAGGTTTGAACTAAGTCCTCTTGAATCCAGGGCTGGTGCTCTATTCACTGCGCCACCTAGCTGCCTCCAACTCCTTTATTTTACATATGAGAAAAAACTGAGAATCCGGAGAGGTAAAGGGACTTGCTCAATCAACTTCACAAAGGTGGAAAGTTATAGTCAGCATTTGAACTCAGAACTCAGAGCTTTTTTTTTTCCTCCAATTTATGGCTACTTTGCCTCCTGAGCTTTACTTGGGTAGAGAGCAAAGGTCTCTGCAACTGACTTTTTTCAAAGTTCGCAGGTTTTTCTGTCCTCTATGCTGGCTAGTATAGTGCTAGGCATGTAAGTAAAGACTCAATAAGTACTAGCTGAATTGAATTTTTTTTTTCTCTGTATGAAGAGTCTAGAGATCTTAGAATGATAAAAAAAAACCACAACAACTTTATTTTGTTAGACATTTCCCCCTCCAATCACCTACAATTATGATTCTATGAATAAATACTTGATTGGTTAATTAAAATGAAACTCTCTACACAGGAAACTTCTAGGTAAAGTGGGCACTCCATAGGAAATTTTTTGATTGACCACTTGAAGAGGACCCATACAGCCCTCTGCCCCTGTCCTCTTGTTCCTCTTTCCTTTCCAATTGCTAAAGGCCTGAGATGAAACTACTAATTTCTACAGTGATTACTTTTCCTGGAATTAGAACCAAGAGCCTTTCCCTTTAAATGTGCCAAAAACACTAACCTTGGTGGCCTGGGGAGAGGCCCCACATCCACCTGCTCATTTATTTTGAGGAGGGGAGTGTGATTTACACAGCCTTTGCATAACCCTGTGGGGTGAAGGGTGGGGCAACTGGATGGTATTCATCATGTATTCCATTCCCCCATCTCCGTGCCATCTGGTTGCCCCTCCCTCCTATCCTTATTCCCCCTTTCCCTCTCCCCACCAGCAGAGAAGAATCCTGACTTCAAACAAGTCAGAAAAGGGCATTTCTTTCCACTTGCTTTGCCCAGAGAACCAGAGCCAGATTTATTTCCCACTTCCTTTAGGGTTTTTATAAGTGATCAGGATCTTATTTTGTTTCCTGCAGACCTAAGCTTTAAGGTGATGGGAAATAAGGGGGAGAGGTGGGAAAACAGGATCTGGGCTACCCAGGGTTTTCCTAGGAGCAGGGGTGGTGTAGACTAAGGCAAAGCAAGGCAAGGTGAAGTGGGTTCGTAAAGGAATTGTGGCGGGGGAAGCAGGACCCATTGAGGGAGAAGAGCCTTCTGAGGCTGGCACAGAGCATCTGATTGTGCAACAATACAGAGAACAGCAATGAGGAGCTGACCCTGGCCTGGTGTTGATAGCTGGGTCAGGATACAGCCAGCTGAAAAGAGAATTGTCCTTTCCTTTTCTACTGCCCAGCTGGGTCAGGATACAGTCAGCTGAAAAGAGAATTGTCCTTTCCTTTTCTACTATAATCTTTTGGGAATGGGGACACAGGGAGACTGGAGATCTTGCAGGGAAAAGAAAGCAGCAGTGGGATAAGTGTTACTTCTCTAGAAAAAGTCAAGGCATGAGATTATGAGCACTCTTTCCTTTTAAAAATTACTTTGTATTACTTTGTGTATATTTTCTTTCTTTTTCTCTTTCTTTATTTTTTGTATTCCCCAATCTCAGCACAGCTTCTAGTACATGGGTACTCAAAAAATAAAGCATGTTGAATAGAAGTGATGAGGAGTAAGTTTGGAAAATGATTTGTATATAAGGGGAATTCTGTGACAATTCCCTCACTCTCCCATCCCTCTTTAAAATCTCATTCATAAAGATGCCCAAATGCCAGTCTGATGACTCAAAACAGCACCAAATCTGGGCAAAGACTCAGGGCCCTAGGAACAAACCTGTTCAGGGAATCTGAAACCCAAGTTCTCATTGACCTCTCCTGGGAAAGTCCTATTTTTCACACAGTCCCTCATGGGGAAGGGGGCAGTGAAACTGGGGACAGTGAGAATGGGATGGGTTAGATACACAGATTGAAGAGAAAGGAGGCAAGAGAAACTATATACATAGGGGACGAAAACTGTTATCAGAGAGGGGGGTCAGTGAGGTGGACTATTTTTAGAATACTGGCATTTTAGAACACTGTTACCCCTTCCTACTGGAAGCTAATGTAGTTTAGAGGAAAGATCCCTTGGAGTCAGGAGACTTCGTTTGGAATCTCAGGTCTAATGTGACTCTGATTCTTTTAACTTCTCTGAGTCTTTACCGATATGCAAAGTGGGGATGACAATACCTGTGGTACCTGACTCATAGGATTGTTGTTTGGAAAGACCAGTATTAAGCTCTATAAATTCGAGTTATTATTCCACCACTGTCAGAAATCCCTTCTAACCCCAAGCTTTCAAAATACCCACTTTGGCAAGAAGCTGGACAAAGCTTTCCCTAGTGGGAATCAGAGGACCCCAGGAGTCCTTCCCATCCTGCCCGCTCTTTCGAGGCCAGAGGAAGCCCAGAGTTCCACCCCGTTCCCACCCCTCTTTCATCCTCCCCTCCCCAAGCTGGTTCTGCCTCTGTGCCCAAGCTCTGAATCTCGATGAGGGTTTTCCCAAACCGGTTATTAAGTGAATACATTAGTACTTATCAAACCAATGTAGGCTGTTGCTTTAATCCAAACACATCAAGACATGTTATTCTCCATTCTCAGGCAGCTCTTCAAACCTGAACTAATGAGGTGCCTGCCAGTTTCGAGGCTGGGGTGGAGGGTGCGGGGGGAGAGCCTGGAGCCACACCCCTGCCAGGACTGAGCACGGACTCCGCAAACGCTAGCTCCAAAGACTGTATTGTGCTTTGTGGTTCTGGTCCCCCACATCTCCCCCATCCCCGCAGGTTCAGACTCCCCTCTAGCCGGACGCTTGAGCGGCAGAGGCGGCCGCGGCTCCCGCAGCAGGTGGCCGGAAGTCATTCGACAGGTGGCCTTGCGTACCCTCTCCCTTTTCAGACAGATCCCTTTCCCTCCCACCCTCCAGCCAGCTTAGAGCTTATCCCTGGGGCAAAGGAGCCCCTAGGTGCCAACCCGCAGCCGTTTCCTCACCTCTTGGTCTGCACGGTGGGGCTGTATTTGCCTTTGTTTCTCTTCCTGAACAGCGAGTTCATCCTGCTCTCGGTGTGTGCACAGCTCCTGCCCGCCGGTGTATGTGTGTATGTTTGAAGGACTGGGGGTCTGGACCGGGGCAGTGGCGCAGGGAGGGTGGGTGGCAGCCTGGGCAGGTGTGAGACCGGCTGTCAGGAGAGCCCCCAACTGCCGCCCACAGCTCTTACTCCTGGTCACTACTCCAGGGGGGCGGGGTTGCACTGCCGGGCTGGGTCTAGTTCCAGAGGCTGTCTGTCTCTCTCTCCCTTTCCTGGGAGAAGGTGGTGCTTACCTTCATGTCACCCAAGCGGGCGGAGCCTCCCTCCCTGTTCCCCTCCCTCTCCCTTTTACCCACACTCAGTGTGTGAGGCAGGGAGACCCAGGACCACTGCGTACACGCACAGGGTGCGCATGAGAATAAATTTTGTCTTCTTTTGCATATGCGCCCGATGTTTAAAAGGGAGATGGTGGTGCAAGCATGGGACTAGCATGGTTGGGGGAGAGCAGACAGGCACTCAGCTGCAAGTTCAGCTGTAAACTCTGTGGAAGTGCCAGCCAAGCTCCCTCCCCTTGGCCTGGAGTCCTGGCTGTGACCCAGCTCTACCCCACGGACTACAGATGCTAGGGTTTCTGGGTCTGGTAGTAATACCCAGTGCAACCCCTCATAGCAAGACTCCAAATCAGGGCTTCCTTAATTTGGGCACACCCAGGCAGATTTTTATCCCAGGGCCGGCAAATCCAGAATATGAGTTAGTGGGGACATAGGATGAGGGATCCTGCAGGGCCAGGTGACTGGTTTCTGTACACTGGAAATTAAATAACACACCCATGACATATTACCTCTTCCAGTCCTTGTGCACTTTTTAGGTTTAAGAATTGAGTTGCAAGGACTAATGTGGAAATAAGTTTAATGTGATTGTACATGTATAGCCTATATCAGATTGCATGCCCTCTTGGGGAGGGAAGGGGAGAAAATTTAGGACTCAAAATCTTATGAAAATGACTGTTGAAAAAATCAGTATTTTTTTAAAGGGAAAAAAAGAAATTGAGTTGCAGGCATGATGGAAACAACCTGTCAAAGTCTAAAAACAAATTTATTAAAGTTTAAGACAGCTACATTATACATAAATCATACAACGTGCTCTTATTTCAGATCCTGTTTCATACAAAAATGCCTGCTCTAGATAAAAATGTCTATCTGGTTTTCTGGTTAGCTGAATAATGCCTGGATCGACTATGAGAAGAAAATAATTTGTTTTTCTATGTCATTCATAGATTATTTCTATCATTCTTACCACACAAATTATTCAAGTATTAAAATTGTAATAAAGAGTTAAGGAAGATCTTGGGTTGTACAATTAGTAAGAGAGCACATTAGAATGAGAAATTCCATAGAAGTGGCATCACGAGTATCACCAGAGAAATGTATGCCTGCAAAAAAATGTTAGGCAGGTCACATAGTGAGGGTGAGGGGTAGCCAATGTACTCCATTGGTATTTATGAAATGCCGAGAAATCTGAGGAAGGTCCATCAGCACATTGGGTGGATCCCCTGTAGGGAATTTATGATAGAACAGGCAAGAGTTGCTCAGGACTGTCAGACACGGATGAGTTGTGATCTGCATTGTGAGACAGAATCTCACATTGATGAAGGCACAGATTCATTGAACATCAGAGAAGATGAACTATTTTTATGTTCATTGTATCAGTAGTATATCTACCCCTGGAGCAGCTACACATGGAATCCCTGCTGGGAGTAGCCCTCCCTCCCTTTCTGCTCTCTCTTCTCCCCATCTCTCTGTGCCCAGCAGAGAGATTATCTGGGCATTAAGGATCATTTATTTTTCTGGCCTAGGCAGGGGATTTCTGCTCCCTAGTATGAAAGGTCCCCACTCTCTAGGAGGTCTACATCTATAAAACTGTTCCACCTAAACAACCAATTATAGAGTTTAGCAAAGGTTTCTGGAAGGCCCTGGAAGAGTGCCAGGTCTGGAGTCAGGAAGAACTGAGCTCAAATCTAGCCTCAGATACTTATTAGCTGTATGGCCTTGGGCAAGTCATTTAACCTCTGTCTGCCTCAGTTTCCTCATTTGTAAAATGGGGATAATAATAATACCTACCTCAAAAGATTGTTGTGAGAATCAAATGAAATAATATTTGTAAAGCACTTAGCACAGTGTCTGGTACATAGTAGGTGCTATGTAAATGCTTATTCCCCTTTTGTGGGGATAATGCATTTTGAGCCTTGGTCACATTCACCCATTCCTCATATCCATAGCCCCACTCATCTGCCCTTGAAGCATCTTTTAACAGTCTAGACCTGGTATATCAGCGCTTGGCTGCTAACAGTGTTTAGTTGGCTGGTTCCCACGTCTGCTGAGACAGGTGGCAGATTTTCCCAGCCAAGACTTCTGTCAGTGAGGTTAAATCCATCCCTGATGCTGTCCACCTCAGCCTTGACAATCAATGACTGCTCATAGAGTGCTCCCTAGAGGCATAATCCTACCAACCCTAAGTTGTCAGTACACACAACCAGCTGAAATTCAACATTCAGTTAGTGTCCACTGTATACAAAACACTGCTAGGAACACTGAGAAAACCTGAAGGTAGATTAAACTCTGCCTTTGACCTGAACAGAAGCTTCCAGTCTAGGAGGAGAGCTTGCTTCTGGACAGAGGTACAGAAGGAAGTTCTGTGCAAGAGATAGTAGCTTTTGAACTTGACCTTTTAAGATTACAATAATTACAATAATATTATAAGATTACAATAGTCAGAGATGGAAGATAGCCATTTATGGAGAATGGGGGGGACCAGGATCAAAGGATGTGGGAAAGTGTAGGGTGTGTTAGGGATCTGTGAATACTACTTTGGCTAAAACACATGATGGGTGAAGGGAGGTAGTGGGAAAGAGAGGAATCAAAGGTCATCAGGCTGCTCAAGTATCAGCAGGATTGAAGGACAGTAACAGTACTTGTATCCATCAGATCTAACCAGGAGATGGGAATTTAAGAGAAAGAAGTTGCAGGGATTCAGGTAATGACAGCTTACATTTATATAGCATGCATTGTTACATGTGATTCGAACAACTTTATTTGGGTACTACAGGTATTCTCATCTCCATTTTACAGATGAGGAAACTGAGTCTCAGATGTGAAATAACTTGACCGTGGTCAAACAGATGGCAAATGGCAGAGCCAGGATATGAACTCAGGTCTCACCTGACTCCATATCTCATATACCATCAGCTATGCCATGTTGCCTTTCATATCATAATTCTTAGGATGGCAAAAGGAAAGAGGAACTGCAAGGATAGGTAGAACCAAGTCCTATATGGAATCCAGGGAAAGGATGGGAATAAGCATTTATTAAGCACCTACTCTGTGCTAGGTTCTCTGCAAAGTGCTTTGTAAATATTATCTCACTTGCTCCTCAAAACAACCTTGGGAGGTAGGTGCTAATATGAGCCCAATTTTACATTTGGTGAAACTGAGGCAGACAATTTTTTTTGTTGTTGTTGTTGTTGTTTTTTTTTTCAGTGACTTGCCCAGAGTCACATAGCCAGTATGTGTCTGGGGCTGGATTTGAACTCAGGTTTTCCTGATTCTAGGCCTAGAGCTCAGCAAAACTCAAACTATGAAAATTCTCATTTTCTCTGGACCCTTTAATCATCTTCCCTCACTCAGGGAACCCCTCTTAGTGTCTACACCTAAAGGAATGATAAGTGGTTGTTAGCTTCAGGGGGAGCACTCAACCTGTCTATGGACTTGTCTTCATGTTCTAGGTCTTTTATTAGCAAGATGGTTTCAGACTGACCTCAATGGGTGTACAACATAACATTGTCATCCAAGATTGGAGAATAGTCATAGCTTTTTGTTTTCAAGCTCTCTTACTGACTCTCTGGTAATGGGATCTCCCTGTCAGTGGCGGAGAAACTGAGGGCTCCATATGACCCCCTTTCCACCCCATGGTTTCTCAGGCCCCAGGCAGCCTTGGGGAGGAATCCAGATGACTCAGTTGGACTGGGGTCAGACTAGGCTGGCCCAATTAGCAGATTCAGGGAGGAATATGAATTGCTGTTCATGAGGGGGCTGGTTCTCCACCCTTTAGAGGTCTGAGTGCAGAGGAGTACGTGCATCTATATATGTGTGCTTATCAACATCCACACAGTTTGTGTTTATGTGTCTGTATGTTTGCATCTGAAAAAACTTATTTATTTAACTGTATATATGAGTTCAGTATGCCACAATAGATAGAGCTGGCCCAAGAATCAGGAAGACCTGGATTTAAATCCAGCCTCTAACACAAATTGTCTGTGTGACCCTGGACAAGTCGTTTAACCTCTTAATGCCCCCAGGCAACTCCTTAAGATGATTATGAGTTTCAGTTCAAGAGCTGACCAGTGCTGGTAGTGAGAGTTTTCTTACCTGGAGATGCCCATTCCAATGAGTTCACAGGTCAGGTCCAAATAAGCAAAACTGGCTCTCTGTGTGTAGTGGAGCTTTCCCAGAAGTATGGGGTAGGAAAGATTGCTGCTGTAAGCCCACAGAATCCCCTGCTGATGCTGATGATATTTTTCATATGTTCCATGAAACCCTCTCAAGCCAAGTGACTCACAGATTGTCTTGACAGCAGCAAACCTGCTCTGTTTGGTTCTCCAAGATGGATGTTTGTTTTTCTAACAGTGTTTGTTTAATGGTTAACTCTCCTGATGTCATTTTTTCAGGGGCATCAATTGCCATGATGCTTCCTGGTTATGGAGATACTCTACTTATCTTGAGACCCATTTCCTCTACCCTGTGTTAGAGCCAGATCCAAGACTAGTCCACGACCCACATCTCCTGTTGGCCGTTTGAGGTTCCCCTAAAGGAAGAGAAGCTTCCACTAAGCCTTCTACTTGTTCACCAGCCATTCTTTGCTCAGAGCTTGAGTGAAACTTAAGGTTTTCCCTATTTTCACCACTTAGAGTTTGAACCAGCTTAAAACAAGAATTGCTACATTCCAAATGTTACTTCCGTTGGAAGAGGAAGGGGGAGGCGGAAAGCAGAGGGGAGAACTATTTCCTTTCCAAATATGTTGCTCACAATTCTTTTGGTTGTCTCTTTCCCCCATGGGCCAGAGACTGGAGGCCCAATCTCACAAAAGACCAGAGTCAAGAACAAAGCCAGAGATCCATTCCGTAGCCTGCAGCAGGATGCCCTACACTTGGGGAGCGGTTGCCTCACCCCAGTTTTGCAGTACAGGAGAAGGGAG